ACATAAATGACAAACCACAAAGTACCAATTTCACAGCTCCATTATTAGGTTTTGCAATCACACAATAATTAGAAACTTATAAAATAACCCTAAGTCCCTTACCTCACAAGTGTCAAGGGCTCAAGAGTCAAGGCCGAGAGCGAGAGGCGAGAGCGATAGTCGCAGTTCTCAGACCGGCAGACGAATGGCAGATGGGCAACGACAGTCGGCGAGATGGGCTTGACTCTTGAGAGACCGGCGACTGAGGCTGAGTGAGGCAGAGAGAGAGAGCGTCGAGCGAGAGCGAGGGCGGGAGCGAGAGGCGAGAGCGAGGGCGGGAGCGAGAGGCGAGAGCGAGCGATAGCGATTGAGGATGAATCATGAAATTCGATGATGGATATGAGGAGCCTGGGCCGGTAACTCGGTAAGTGAAACTGTGAAATGTGGAATGGACTCTAAAGGCTAACGGTAATAAAAAAAAATTTTGGCCCAAACTGAACCTAGTACATGCATTGGGCTTAAAAAATCTTGATGCCCTCTCCACTTTTGATGCCCTGGGCCGTCGCCCCTTTGGCCTAGGCCCAGGGCCGGCCCTGGGGAAACGTAGGGTAAAGCAGTGAAGACGCAAGAGAGAATAATAGGAGGCGTCAAGGCCGGAGGAGGCTCCAAAGTAAGAAGGATTGCTCGTGGGTTTGAGAAGTCGTACATTTTAAGTCATTAGTTGTACAGGTTTTTGATATACAAATTCAAAATCTAATTTTAGTTAAAATTATAAGTTGGACAAATAATACACCTGAACTTTAGATTGGTTTTCCTTTAATAAATTTTGGAATGAATTGAATGGTATTGACGCATGATGAAAGCAATGCACAGATACAATGTTTACACACATATGACACGTTTTGGAATAAAAAAAAAGATAATATAATTCTATATATTCAAAATTACAAAATTTGACATTTTAAAGTGGGACCTACTTTTGGCGAGTAGCCAAAAATACTAAATTAAAAATGTGAAATAAACGTAATTGATTTTTGCTTAAATAGAAGTGTGAAAACCAAAAAATGTTAATTTAATGCGATCTACTTATTGTAACTGGAATAATTAAAATCCGAACATCACAAAAAAGTACTCCAAATTCGGGTTCATGGTTGTGGACGAAAAATAAGGGAAGACCGTCAATCATAGTGTGCCGTTATGTTCGACATGTCGCAAGCTTTTTGTGCATATCTTATGTCTCATAACTCTTTACAAATTTATAGTTGGTTTAAGCCGGAATTCTTTCCAACGAGTTTTCTTTATCCCAACGGTCCATATTAAGAGGGTGTTTGGAATTGCTTATTTGAAACAACCTATACTTTTTTATAAAACATTTGTCAATTTATTATAAGTCAGAAGAGTTTAACTTTTTCAAAAACTCCTTATTACCGGTTTGGCACCGGTATAAGTTGTTTATCTAAACACTCAAAAATGGCTTATTACCGATGCCATACCTGAATAAGTCAACAAGTTGTTTTTATAAACAATCACAAACACCCCCTAATACTTCATCCCTTGTTGGTAGGAAAATAGAATCGTGAACTCCTTATAAACTAAAACTATGTATTGTCAATACATTCCACTATGATTTTAAGTTGATTTAAAGGTTACTGATTTGAGTCTGTGATGTTACAAATGGTATATGAGTCGGATGGTGAGGCAAACCTCATCGAATGTCCTTGAGGACAGATGTTTATAACATTTTAAATTATCTGCTAATTCTTGAATCTGCTTTATACAACTATACTGGTATTTTACCCTTTTATGATGATTTTTACAAATCTTGATGTGAGTGAACTTAAAAGTTCAAATTGTTCCATTTTATAGTTCAATAATTCAAAATCTTTACCAAACTTTAGTGACTTTTAATATTATTATTTCAAACTTAAATATAACAATTACAATCAAAACACCAATTTACTTCATTTATTTTTGGGACTAAGGAGCACAACTTTCATGAAAGAAAAAGAGGAATAATGCAAATTTGGGTAAATAAATCCAAAAACAGAAACACCTTTTTCCACTTTTATTCAAATTAAATAATTTAATTAAATAAAACAAAAAATAAATAAATGTCCCCACCCTCTTGATACGATCATTAAGCTCAAATAAAGAGAGACCAGATCCATCACTTTCATCTCTCTCTCTCTCGCTCAGAAATTGTTAATTGCTGCTTTTACTTTGCCTTTCAAACTTTACTAAAATCCCCCATTCTTGATTACATCTTTTAACCTAACATCAATTCTTTCTTGATGATCCATTGCTATCTCACAGATTTCACATTTCATCTTCCTCTTTGTTTGAAGATTTGAATCCCCAAGAAATTGCTACTTTTAGTTACCCTTTTGTTGGATCTAATCTTTCAGATCGATCTCTGGGTGCAAATCAAGAATCTTGAGTTGAAAAGATAGATTCTGTGTTCATACGCTGCAAGAACTTGATGAGGTTTGTGTTCTTAACTTTTGATGGGTTTCATCTGTTCATAAAACTAGATGTTTTCTGTGTTTTTTTAGTGCATTTAACTGTTTGGGTTTCTGGGTTTCCCGTCAATATTTGTTGGATTTCATCTGCTCACTTAGTTTGTGCTTTCTTTGAGAGCATTGTAGATTGTACTTTGACTTTTAGATGGTCAAATGTAATCTTTTCATATTCAAATTTTATACATCTCTTTTTTGGTTTTTGATCTTGGGAAACTGTGTTTCTTGAAGTAATTTTGAATAGATATATGTAGTTGTTAATTTCCTACATAAAGATGGTTATTAATGTCGATTTTCGAAGTTAGAGAATTGTTCATTTGACACCCAAAAGTCAACCATGGAATGAAATTTGTTGGATTTCACCTGCTGGTTGTGTTCATAGCTGTCTGTGTTCGTTGACTTTACTTAGTCAAACCTATCAATTTTGAAATCCAAATTCGGTTCCATTTTAAACTTATTTATTTGAAAATTGTCTCTATTCTAATAATGTTTAAATACTTAAGCGTGGCCATTAAAAATTTTCTATGAAAAAATCATTATTATTGTTTAATTTTGAAGGAAAAAAACAACTGGTTTGACTTAAAACCTGGATCTTTCTGGGACTAGGGGGTGCTATTATTGGAATTCAATTACTGTATCTGTATGTCTTTTTCTGGTTTTATTCAAATTTGATCTTCTGGATACTTGATTTCTTGATTTCGATTGTTGTTTGTTCTTTTATGCATTGAACTTATTACACACACACACACACACACACACACACACACACGCATAGAGGAGGTTGTAAATACAAACCATGCAATTGTTACAAACCATACAGATCAATCAATTAAGATATTTATGAAAATGACGGGGCTTCATTTATTATGATCCAAAATGAACCGGATATTTATAGAAGATGATTAGAGTTCATTCATTATGAAACTGCATGTTCATTAGATCAAATGAGATTGGTTTGTATGGTTTGTAACAACGTGTTGGTTTGTACAACAAACCCTCTCTCTGTATATATACAGAGAGAGGAGAGATAGAGTTCCCTTCTTTTACAAACCCAATAATTCGTACAATGTACAAATGTTTTCATGTGAAAATGCAATGTTTATTCATAGTTGTCTCATATGTGAAACGTTCATGACTGTTTGTTTCCACACATGAAACAGCTCTGAACGTTTCACATATGATACATCACTCTATAAACATTGCATTTTCACATGAAACAACACATGAAAACTGTCTGTAAATGATTATGTGTCGAAATATACATCTAAATCAAACCAAACAAAACCAGGAGATTCGAGGGTGCCTCAAGAGAAACAGAGGTTGTTTCCAACAAATTTGGAAAAAGATCGACCTTTGTAGGACATGATTACAAAAGAATGCAAAGATCATTCCTAGCTAAAAAGAATATAGTATAAGGGTGCATTTGGTATGCATACGGGATGGGATTGGACCGGCGAGAGTGAGGTAGGCAAGGGAAAGAAATGCGGAATGATATAGGGAATTAATTTGATATGGGTAGTTTAGTAATTTACCAATCGTGTCCCATCAGTCTAATTTCTTGGTTGAACAGAAAAGATGCATTTTTATACCACTTGGGTCCTTTTATCTGTATAATGTGATTTTGAGACTTAGGGGCTGTTTAACAAAATTTTTATTAAGTCCTATATGGATAAATTTGTCTGTCTGGATAAATGGGTGTTGTTGTTTACTTTTTTTATCTGAACCAACAGTCTGAATAACATAAATGACCGATTTACCCTCCAGTATTAATTATTTGAACATCAAAACAAAAAATCATAAAGAGGCTGACGATAGGGTGTCTCATTTGGGAAGGAGACGATGCTTTAAATAAGGGGTAGGGGTGTTATTTTTGTGGCTGAATGGGGACAAAACACTATTTCTATCCGTGCGATTAAGTCATGTTCTGTGCGAATAAGCCGTAAATAAACAACCCAAATGAGTTGTGCGAGTAAGCCAGATAGACCAATAAAGCCTAATTAAGCCGCAAGTAAACAACATCAACACTAATTAAAAAGTGATCAAGGGTCCAAATCCCTTCTTATACTTCTCAAGTTACTCACACTGCAATCCTATCTGAAGACTCTCGATCCTCCCAACCCCTCCCCGTTCAAGACTCTTACAAGCAATCGGCTACTACCCTAATTCGTCTACTCCAAGAACTCCGATCTGATATCATGTCCCCTAAAATGACATGTTTGACTTTTTTGAGTCAAACGTGCCACTGTTTAAACTTGAAATTTATATGAATTCTTTTACTGTTTTTACACGTACAAGTTTCCTTTACGTAGCTTGTATTGTATGATTCGATGTGTATAAACTCACTTCTTTGAATATATGTGGAACAATATCGATTTAGAAGTCCAAATCTAGTTGTTTCGACTTTCAAAAGTAAAAAAGTTGACTTCTTTCTGTTCATATCCATTTTGACCTGTAAATTACTGATCTTGTAACATATTTGTGAAATTTATCGTTTGAATCTTTCTTATCGATTAAAGCTAATGTTAATTTAATGTTCATATGATCAGGCTTTCGAACAATCACGTTTGTATATTGCTTTCCAACGATATTAGAATGCACGATGATATCTGAAAGACTGAAAGAAGTCGAGCCTTCCAATGTGTCGAACCGTCTAGCTCGCAGTGCTAGCCAAAAGTTAAAGAAAAACAACCATGGAAGCGTAATGGCCGATGATGATAGCTCGGGTGGGGTTTCATTAAGGTGTCTGAGTTTGTATAGCCGTGGCAGTGGAGGGTGCAAGGTTGGAGCTGCTACGAGCGACGAGTTTGGTGAAGTCACGAAAGGGTTCAAACCAGTGTGCGGGACCCACGACACGAGCGTTGATTGCTTCTCGTATGGAGTGGAGCGGTTTTGGAAGAGAAATAACCGGAAGAAGAATCTTGAAGTCGAAAAAGAGCCGCACCGAAAAAACACCATGGATGTGTTTCTTCCCGATGATGTTCTTGAGATGTGTTTGATGAGACTCCCGTTAACGAGTCTGATGAATTCTCGGCTCGTATGCAAGAAATGGCGAGCGTTAACGAGCACACCGCGGTTCATGCAAATGAGACGAGAGGGGTGTTTCCCAAGTCCATGGTTGTTCGTTTTTGGTACGGTGAAAGACGGTTACTGCTCTCGTGAGATATTCGGTTTTGATGTCTCTTTCAAAAAATGGCATAAAATCGAAGCGGAAGTTCTTACAGATCGGTTTTTGTTCTCAGTCGCGACTGTTCGTGACGATATTTTCGTCGTTGGAGGTCGTTCGAGCGTTGGTAGAATGGACGGAAGTTCGTGCAAGACACACAGAGGAGTCTTGGTGTTTAGCCCGTCAACAAAATCTTGGCAGAAGGTTGCATCGATGAAACATGCACGCTCGAAGCCTGTTCTTGGAGTCTGTGGAGTCAGCTCTGATCGTTTGGTCGTCAAAAATCAACACAATCATTTTCTCCGGTCACGGACGCGTGTCGGGGGAGTATCGGATGTTTACGAGGACCCACATCGGCTTTCCATTAGAAGGCTATCGAGAAACTCCATCGATGAAAAGGTCAAGCACGCAAGTGTAAAAGACCGTCGACGGTTCTTGATTATGGCCGCTGGTGGGCTCGGTTCTTGGGAGGAACCGCTAGATTCATGTGAGATTTATGACTCGTCATCAAACAAATGGACGGAAATTCAACGACTGCCTGTGGATTTCGGGGTCGTCTGTTCGGCGGTTGTCTGTAACGGGACATTTTACGTTTACTCAGAAACCGATAAACTCGCCGCATACGACATTGGACTAGGTTTCTGGGTTCGAGTCCAGATGACTCCTGCTCCACCGCGGGTCCATGAGTACCCCCCAAAGCTTGTATCGTGTGACGACCGTCGGTTGTTTATGGTGTCGGTCTCATGGTGCGAGGGAGATGGTGAAATCGGGCGGAGAAACAAAGCGGTGCGGAAGTTATGGGAGCTCGATCTCGTGTACTTAACATGGAACGAAGTTTCGAAACATCCCGATGCACCGATGGACTGGAATGCGGTATTTGTTGCGGACAAAAACTTGATTTTCGGGGTCGAAATGTTCAAAATTTTCGGGCAGGTGTTGGAGTTTTTGACGATGTGCGATGTGGCTGACCCAGCGATGAAGTGGGTTCACGTATCGAAGAATCAGGTGGCTCGGGAAATGGATGCGGCTTCGTGCGTGATGAAATCGATGGCGGTCGTGCACTTGTAACAAATGCCGATAAGTTTGATCGAAATCGATGGTTAGTGGCGTAAGTTGATCATAAGCTGAATTTCGTAATTAATGTTCAAGAATTGTTGCGTTTATTTTGGATTCGTAGTAAATTCGATTTGATTGGGGTTACAAACTTTGCAAGTATATGTAATTCCTTTTTGCATCAGCAACTATATTTAACTCCAGATGTGGCAATTTCATAAGTAAAAGGTTGATTTGGGTTATATCTAATCTTTAAGGGTTAGATGTGTAAAACTCAACGAGACTGTAGGGACGAGAAGTGCTATTTTTAATGAACTATGGGGATCAAATTTGTAGTTTACTCATTTTTAACAAAAATTATTGAAGGACTAGAGTTGATAGTGAAATAGATCCGCAACCACACTGTCTAAAAGGGTTAGAGCTGATAGTGAGTGATAAATAAATGTAATTTACACTTTTTTATATCGAAACCAAACGCTTACCTTGGTAAGAATTTATTGGTAAAATTCAATATTATCCCTTACTTACCGGGTAAGATTTTAGTCCACGAAAGATATCGTATACAATAATTTATCCGGTAAGCGCTAACTCTGGTAAAAGTCGTCGTCGTCCTCACTTACAGGATAAGACTCTAGGTCCTTATCTTCTCCCTTACCGGGTAAGATTATTGGTCCTTCTCGTATTCATCAGTAAGGTAATGTAACTTGACAAGTGAAATCAAATATTCATATATTTTGAGTTGATTCATCATTCAGTATGTTAATGGAAGAGGATAAATAGCTCTTTGTTTTTATCTATTTGTATTTCTTGTACTCTTTTATGTTACAGTCAAATAAAGAATGATGGAAGGATTATGCAAATGAGTCGTACATGAAGATTCAAAGCCAGTATAAACCAACAAAACTCTCAGAAATCGGTTTCTTAACCAAGATATGACGAATCAAGATGATCGGTTCTCAAGTTCAGAGAAGAACATAGAAAGGAAGGAAAAAGAGTAGAAAAGCAACATAAAAACAATACTTCCCTGATTAAATCGGAGGAGGAGATGAGAAGACGGTATAGGATTCGAAGGCGTGAATTCAAGAGCGAGAGAAGGAAGCAACTATTTCACATATGTTTGTGTTCATATATTGAAAAAAATCCATGTGAGACTTTTTTTGTTTATATAGTCTATAGTGGAACGAAAAATACACGTAAAAAAGTTTCATATTGGAAAACAAATACATGTGAAAGTATCACATTATGAAACAAATATATATATGAAATAGTGCCTAAAATCCTACCATCTGATTTAAAGAATCATGCACAAAAATATTTTTGTATCAATTCTTACGGGTTTATAACTTTTTTATGGTTCTTATTTGATTTGCTCTATATATATGGACGAGGGATCATGTGAGAATAACAGTTATAGTGAGAACAATGAGAACACTTTTAAGCCTTTAAATGACTTGACTTTTTAGTCAAACTTATTATTCTTCAACTACTTTCTGCATCTTCAACTACATTCATCTTTACTTTTAAGTAACTTTTACATACATTTATTCACACATTCACATACATGAATTTGTTAAAGTTTAGGTCACGCTGATAAAAAAGGTAGCTGAATGTAGATGAAGATATATCAATGTATATGAATGCTTTGTTCTCACATCCTCAACATAACTCTTATTCTGATCAGAACTATTTTATATATATACATACACACACACACAAACAAGGCAATGCAAGTTTTGGCAACTCGATAACATCAAAACAAAATCGAAAACTGTTATAGAGTTGCATCCCGTTGTTGCAACAAATCTTTGTAACTTAAAACCGCTATTTTAGTTGCATTCGCTCTCCCTACCAGAAGGATAGTCTTCAAACAGGTCTTCGGGCGGGTCATAAATGATCATGCCTGGGAAAAGTTCCAAGAAATCATCCTTCACCTTCTCCCTCAGCTCGGGATATGGTAAAAGCCCTTTCAAGATCACTCGAAAAGGCAACGACAATGGAGGGTCAGGAGCCCGTCTCATTTCCTCATATACAACCATTGCCTCCAACGGCAATCCGCTATCCAAAAAGGCCCTCATAATGTCCCCAAATGTATGTTGATCAAAGTGTACCTCTTCTTTCTTTAAATCTTCCCATACCTGCTTTATCTCATCCACTTTTTTACTTCTTGCTAGCATCATAAGCATGTCCCTGTAAAAGAACATATCTGGTCGGTACCATATCTCTTTCCGCACGACACCATATAACTGCACAACGATACCTTATAAATCAAATCAAATATCTAGTAAGAGTAAACGGTTGTTGAAAGAAAGGACCATTCTTAAAACCATGTATGAAATATATAGAACTTATGTTTTTAGTGTCCCAAACATAATCAACATATCCCAATCGAGGTAGGACGTACAGACTTTTCCTCTACCCCTGGCAAAGAGGCTTGCAGAAAGTTGTGGAAAGTCAAAGAGTGAAACAGAAATTTCAGGGTGACCCATGTATGCAGCATTTCCCTTTATGACAAGTTCAAGAGTTAAATTTACCAAATTACTCATTGTTATCATTACTAGATATTGATATCACTGATTTTAGCCACAATAATCCCTTGGTTGTCATTGTTGGAGGCCATTTGACGCACTTGACTAAGAAGCCGTTTACGACACATTTGGTAACTAAACATTTACAGCCTCTTAACGGTTAAGAGACCCTTACCAGGTCAAAGATTATGGTGTTTATACTTACAGCACCATTTTGCTCATCAATAATCTTACCCAGTAAGAGAGGGTGGAGAGCACAGGGCCGGTCCTGAGGTTTCGGATGCTCATGGCAAAAACCAAAAGAATGCCCCATATACAGGTTCATACGACAACAGTAACCAAATAAGAGAACAAGAAAACGACGGAATCACATATTTTACACTAAAATCAAGTGTAAAATCACATTTGACTCACACGACTTTAGCCGCGACTTGAGGTCGCAGGCTACATCGCCCACACACCTTTGTGTTGACCATTAGTGTAAAATCACATGTGACTTTGCACGTGATTTGGCCGTTCTCGTGTTTTATATGATTATTGTTCTCGTTTGAACTTCCATATATATAGTGCGAGATTTAAATAAGAGACTAAATATCATAAAAAGGTAAAACCGGAAGGTTCATATGTGAACCATTGAAAAAAAATCCATTTGAATATGCAATGTGAACCCATATGAATTATTTGCAACATCAACTCACATATGCATCTTTAAATAGATTTTTCAGATTTTTTCAATGATTCACATGTGAACATTTTCTTAACTCCTTCTCACCTTCTCATGATATTTAGCAATCTTATTTAAATTGACTACATATAAAAAAATAAACTATTTGAAGCAGTTTGGAACCTATTCAAGTTTGACGGCTCATCTCCATGCCGATTTTTATTAAACATGACAAAGAATGATACAAGGATGACATAAACCAAAACCCCTGAATAATAAAAACTATTCAAGTTTGACGGCTCACCTAAAACGATGTCTTTGTGTGTTTTTTGAACACCATACCTTATGAAAAACAGATAGAGAACACTTGAATTTAAATCGTCGAAATCAAATAGTTTACTTCAATTCGCTTCAATCCAATCTCTATTCTATGCAAACATCAAAGATCAAACACAAACAAAACCAAAAATCAGAATTTAAAAAATAGTAAACTCAAAAGAACATTTTACAAAATTTCTACAAAGAAAAGAAAGGGAGGGAAAAAAGGAAAGGAAAATAATTTTTTTCTTTGTGTTCTCGAAAGGGAACGAAAAGCAAAGAAAGAAAATAATCTTTCATGTTCTTGGACAGGAGAGAAAGGAAAGGGAATGTGTCAGTTTTACAAATATAGCCTCTTAAAAATATGTTCTTTATTATGAAAGCTTGGGTAGTTTTGTAATTTTAATAATCTTTTTAAAGGGTTTTATTTCCTTTCCTTTCCTCCCACATCTGGAAGGAAAGTTTTGGGAGGAAGCTTCTGATTTCTTTCCTTCTGATTCCCTTCCTTTCTCTCCCAAGAGAACACGAGTTTTTTTTACTTTCCTCCTCTTTCCCTCCCTTCGTAAAAGAAGTTTCAAGAACACAGCGTTAATGTGAAAACATAATGATTAGTGAGGTTACAAGAATAACCTAAAATCAAGAAAACATTTACAAAATCAAAATAAACTTTACAAAACTTAAACTTACTGATTAATGAAAGATTGAGAATAATCTAAAATCTTAAATACTTGAGCAAATAAATATTAAAAAAACAAATTCAAGCTCAAATATTCTCTTTGGATTCGCTGTGGGTTTTGCAGGGATTAAAAAGATCAATTTTCAAGCCCACTATATTTTGTTGCCCATGGCCGCAGCCATCATTGCCATGGGCAAGGGCTGGTTCTCGAAGAGCGTTTAGCGGCATGGTCAGAGATGATGGGTGGTGACTCTAACCTAGTAAGTGCTTGAAAACGGCCTCTAAGAGTCAAAACAAATTTATACAACTATATGTTGAATCAAATACAACAATTTACTTGGAATGGGATGATATAATTATCAACAGCTTAAGTCAAAGTATCTTGCCTTTGAATCAGCTGAGTACTCAAGTTAAATATCTTTAACAAGTGTGCAACAGTTTATTACTAGAAGTAAGGGACCGTTTACCAAACTCTTACCGGGTAAGCGCTTACAAGGCGTCACTTACCGTACCAAGTGAACTTGGCAATGACAGAGAAGTTAGCCGATAAGAGGCATAGCAAGGACCAAGAGTCATACAAACAATCCATTTTGATGGCCGAAAATGTTATCCAACAAAGTAAGTGAGGGTGGTGACTCTTGTTGGTAGCGTTTGGTAAACGGCCCTAAGATAATGGAATCCAAACGAAAAGAGCGATAGAAGAAAAGTAGAGCACACCTTCATGGATAAAAAGACGAGGTCTTGTCTCTGGAATTCAGCAAGAACGGAGACGAGGTCGGACTTGAGAAGGCGAGAGACATGGGACTTGATGAACAAGTCAAGTCGGACAGGACTTGATTGAAGTCTCTTGAGCTCTTTGGCAATAATCAAACCTTCTTTTCCCAATTCCTTCTTGCGCCTCCATATTGATAAGCTTGGGCTTGATGTTGAGGAAGCTGAGCTTGAGATCTCATGAAGGGATGCTGTTATGGTTTTCAGATTTGACAATGAAGCTCGTAGCAGGATGGTTCGACCATAATTGAGCATATTGATCTAAGCGTAATACTTCTTATTATTACTTGAATCTAATCAATAGATGAAACAGATTCAATACATAATATACACTAAAACAACTGATTAAAGAAAAGAAGCATCCATTTTTATTCAACCAGTAGAAAAATAAAATTGTCACAGTTCCAAATAATGTAGGGTCTACAAACTCAAATCTATGCTTCTAAAATTCAATAATATGGTTTAATAAACTCTAAAGATACACAAAAAGTGACCAAGCATTCACATAAACAAATTACAAGTTTCAGACTTCGTAAGACAGTATAAAAGTTGATGGGTTTTGGAAAAGGGAAACAGCTCTTTGGTAGATGATGTAAGATGAAAGTGAGATGAAACCAATATTACTTAGCTAGAGTTTGTAATCAAGTTGAACAACGCATTTCGTTGGCCGGAATTAAAATGGAATCTATTAAAGGATTGAAATGTTTGTTTTGGTTGGCATAATTAGTTATGAATTTTTTGTAAAATTACCATATGATGTGTAAATTTTTTGTAAAGAATTTGATGAACATGTAACTTTTATATAAACCTAATGGGTCGTCAAATAAATCATGGAAAAGGTAACTTAGGGCTCAATTTAATCAACCTAAACCAAGCTGTAGAGAAATCCATAAGAGAAGAGAGTGAATACCTGGTTTATTTGAAGCTTCAACATTCATTAATGGTTGCTTTCTGTTTTTAGGTAGAATAAGAAACGGAGAAAAGAAACAGAAAATCACATACCTTGAGAGAGCATAGATCGACGGAGACGATGAAGACAGCCCTTGCCGGAGGAGAAAGAGTGGAAGAAGGGAGAACGTTGGAGAAATCGATGGGACAAAATAACTCATGTTACCCCTAAGGGGCTGTTTGGTAGCTAGTGACATTAAGGGGCTGTTTGGCAGTTGCTGAATGGTTTTGTGCAGAATGGTTAAGTGGTCAGAATGGTTAAGAGGGTCAGAATGGTTAAGTGCTGAATGAAATATGGTTGTTTGGTAAATGTTCTCTGAATGATAACAAATTACCATTTTAACCCTCTGTATGATTTAGTACTGAATAAAATATAACTGTTTGGCAGATATCTGAATAAAACAATTACTTTGTAAATGTAACTACATATTTCATATTAATCCAAACAAACATA